ATAAATATATAAACAAATATATATATATATATATATATATATATATACATATATATATATATAGATACATACCTGCTTCTGCATAGGCGGTGGCGAGTGTAGTGAGTTGTTTAGGGTTTAGTTTATGTATACAAGCTCTAAGAAGAGGAGACAGTGTATAAATATATATATCTGTATTTATAATTTTATTTTTATTTTTTATTTGTGTTTTATAAAGAGAAGAAGCAAAGTTTACTAGGTCCCCCGGGCTGCAACTGTCTCCTTCTGTCTCCACTCGTTTTTCTATAGCAGCAAATAAACTTTTATCTATTACTCCTGCTGCAGCAAAGGCCGAGGAGACAGCAGCAACCTCAGCCATAGATAGCTGCTGCAGCAGCTGTTTTGTTTTGTTTATAAGGAGACCCCATATTATATTATCTTTCTGCTGCAGCCGGGAGAGAGACAAACAAATACAGGTGAGGTCTAGGGGTCTTTGTAGCTGCGTATACACCCGAGATACTGCATGCAGCAACGCAGCTAGCAAAGCCCCACCCTCTCTGCATGCACGAGCAGGGGGGAGAGAAGAGAGACAATGGAGACAGCATGCAACCTGGTGAGGAGACAGAAAAGGAGACAGATAAATACACCGCAGCAGCAGCTGCGGCAGCCAGCTGGGGGCCTGCTGCAGCTTTGTGAGGCCCCATAGAAGGTTAGAGGCCCCTTGGGGGTCTAGCAGCGGTACTGCTGCTGCTGCTGCATGCAGCAGCAGCACGAAACGAGGATCAGTTGATATATAAGAAACAGAAGAGACAGAGGAGGAGACAGAAAAGGAGACAGAAGAGGAGACAGAAGAGGAGACAGAAGAGACAGAAAAAGGAGACAGCAGGCGCCCCAGGCGGTAAACTGCTGTTACTGCGTTCACTGCATCTAACCCAAACACCTGAGAGAGCCTCGCGCGAGCAGCAGCAGCAGCAGCAGCAGGAGTTGCTGCTGCTGCTGCTGCTGCTGCTGCAGGTGCTGCTGTTGCTGCTGCTGCTGCTGCTGCTGCTGCTGCTGCTGCAGCAGGGCTTCCCCCCACAGCCTCTGCTGCAGCAGCTATCACCTGCAGTATAGCCTCGGGGGTACGGGCCCGCAGCAGCTGCTGCTGCGCATGCAAATGCTGCGGCGCCAGACGCTCCCATACACTCTGCTGCAGCCCCCCTGCTGCATGCGTTGCTCTCGCGATGGGGCTTTCTGTCTCAATCACCTCAACACCACCAGGGCCCCCACCAGGGGGCCCCCCAGGGGGCCCCTCACCAGGGGGGCCCCCAGGGGGCCCTTCACCAGGGGGCCCCCCAGGGGACCGCTCACCAGGGGGGCCCCCATGGGGCCCCTCAGCGGGGCTCTCGGGGGAACCTTCAAGGGGGCCCCCAGGGGGCCCCTCATGGGGGCCCCCTGAGGGTACAGAATCGAGGTCTGGGTCGTGTAAGAAAGGGTCTGGCGGCATGGGGGCCCCGTCGGGGTCCCCACCCGTATCTAGGGCCCCTGTGGGGCCCCCCTGCTGTAGGGGCCCCTGGGGGCCCCCCTCCCGGGGGGTGTATTTGTTTATCTTTGCCGATACCTCCCACCCCGCCTGCAGGTGTGAGAGGTCACGCCAATCGGGGAGGGGCCCCGTGTCTAGCTGCTGCTGTGTTGCTGCTGCTGCTGCGTCTGCTGCTGTTGCTGCTGTTGCCGCTGTTGCTGCTGCTGCTGCTGTCTCGGTTTTATGTAGAGGGGGTGAGGACCCTGCAGCAGCGCTGTATTGCATGCTTTGGGGGGCCCCTTCTTCTGTGCTGGGGGCCCCCGTCGGGGCCCCTCTGGTTCTGTGTTTTTGACTTGCTGCAGCAGCATTTGCTGCAGCAGCAGCAGCAGCATTACCTATAGCCTGAACTGTGCGTCTTGCTGCTTTCTCCTGTCGCTGCATGCGCCGCTGCTGCTCCTGCTGCAGCAGCTGCTGCCACAGAGAAGGTTGATAGAGATCCTCATCCTGCTGCAGCCCCTGTACATTGAACCTTGGCTTTCCGTATTGTCGATTGTTGCTGAGTGTTGGTACCCTTTTGGGGGCCCCCGTGGGGGCCCCCCCGGGTCCCAGGGCCCCCCCCCCCCNCCCCCCCCCGGGGGGGCCCCCCTGGGTACCCCGATGCCGGGGGCCCCTCTGGGGGCCCCCGGGGGGCCCCGACGATGCTCTACCTTGACAGCAGGCCTGTAAGAGGGGGCCCCGTACTCATCGAGGGGTACGGGGCCCTCCTCAAACATATCACCAAAGATACGGTGCTGCTCGTCCAGGCTGGTGGGGGGCCCCCCTGCTTGGGGGCCCCCCCCGGCGAGAGGTTTTGCTGCACGGGGGCCCCCCGAAACAACAACAGGGGTATCCGAGGGGGTTGAGGGGCCCCCAGGGGCCCCTCCTTTACGGGACCCTTTGTTGAGGGGCGGGGGCCCCCCAAAGTGGGCCCCCTCCTCATCAGCAGCAACCCCGGTGGGGGCCCCTTCGCCAGGGGCCCCCCCCGAGGGGGCCCCCTGCCTGGGGGCCCCCCCAGGGGGGGCCCCCTGCTTGGGGGCC